TGTGGGTCAGATAAATACCCAGCATCAGCATAACCAACAAGATCGGGACTGCAATTATTGTCATAAAATAAGCCCATATCGGTAGTCCCTTTTAGATACCGCAATATGTATTTGATTCCATTCCAATGTCTCCTTGTAGGAGTAGAGCTATATCTTGCTAAGACATTAACTGAAATAGTGAGTTCAACTCTGATTGGATTGCTTCTTGCCATTTTGGCCAATCAAGTCTTTGTCGACATTCTCCAATAGATTGAGGTTCAAGATCCTCACTTTCTTGCATAACGCTAGATGCAACATTATATGCAAAGACATAATCCACCACTATATCCACTCGATTCAACTTTGTCTCAATATCGATTGGATTTATTGATAGTTCCTTATTTTCTTGAGTCTCGGGCTCAGTGGATTTCTCATGAATCTCAGAATTTATTAAATTGTGGATTTCTTCATGAGATTCTTTCGTAGTGCCATTTTGATCATTTATTTTCCTTTTTCTAAGATTTCAATCCTAATGGTCTGCCACGTTTTAGGCGTGCTTTTGACTCATTAGCTATGACACTAGAAGATTGTCCAATAGGAACATCAATACGGATTGGAACATTCTCTGCAGGGATATGTGATTTTGTTATCCTTTTCAAATCCGTAAATGTGTCTGGCATTTGATTTGCGATTCTTTGCAAATGGATAATCTTTTGCACCTCTTTTTCACAAATAGAGGCACGTGGATCAAGATGAGATAATGATAGATTTTTCCACAAAATTTCCCGTTTGGTTTCACCAACTTCTCCCCATAATTTTGGGAAAAGTGTCTCATTGAATCGACAGTCTGCAAATCGTGCAGTAAACAAATCCCTCGTCAATGTTTCTAGGTAGCGAATGATGGAGGGCGATTCAAACCCTAATATATATTCCTAACCTTCTTTGCGGACCCATTTTGGTGCGATATGGCGGTGCTACAAGTACATATCCTGCGCATCCAAAAATTCTTAAATGGGATATATTAGGTTCATTACCCAAAACTAGTTGCAACAGGGAATATTTATGATAATTTGTCGGTCTGAGACGAACTAGCATTGCTGCATGCAAAATGGCATGACCCCAAACAGAAGTGGGCAGCCTCATTTTCATGAGTAATGGTCTTGCTATCAATTGCAGACGTTTAATTAAAGACTCTGCAAGACCATTTTTAGTGTGAACATGAGCTACAGGATGTTCCACTTTTATCCCAATTGATAAGCAATAATCATTAAATGCTTGGGATGAAAACTCATCAGCATTATCAAGTCTAATAGACTTAATTGGATTATCAGGAAATTGTGCCCGTAATCGAATTATTTGTGCCATTAATTTTGCAAACGCGAGGTTGCGAGATGACAATAGGCATACATGGGACCATCTAAAAGATGCATCTATTAAGACCATAAAATATCTAAATGACCCACTAGGTGGGTGAAAAGGTCCACAAATGTCCCCTTGTATACATTCCAAAAACGCAGGGGACTCAATTCCAACCTTTGTTGGTGATGGTCTAATAATTAACTTGCCTTGATAACAAAAAGTGAAAGAAAATTCATCATTTAAAAGAATCTTTAAATTCTTTAATGGATGCTCATTTGAGTTTTCTATAATTCGTCTCATCATAATTGATCCAGGGTGTCCCAATCGATCATGCCAAAGTACAAAAGTATTGGAATCAGTAACCTTTTGGTTTACGGTAGAATGTGCCTCAATTGCACTAATTCTTGTCCAATATAGGCCACAAGATAAAGATGGGAACTTCTCAATAACCCTCTTTTGGCCGGAGACATTCTTGATAATGATGAGATATTCAAGATTATTCTCATCTATTGTCTCAATATGATATTCATTTCGATGGATATCTTTAAAACTCAACAAGTTCCTCTTGGACTTGGAGGAGAACATTGCATTCTCTATGATAAGTATTGTTCCCTTAGGCAGAATTATAGAAGCTCTTCCAGAGCCTTCAATTAATTTACTACTACCAGAAATTGTAGTAACATCTGCCTTACACATATTTAAATGAGAGAAATATTTTTTCTCTTTGAATATTGTATGTGTCGTACATGAATCAATTAAACAAATATTTTTACAGTTGAACTTTGATCAAAGTTTGTTTTGTGAGATATCCATATTTGCTTCTCATTGTTTGACATACAAAAAAAAATATACGATAAACATTAGTACGAATAACAACACGTTTTTTTCTTTATTTGTTGGTACAAAACTAGTAACTTGAAGTATCATTTTGTTGTTATAATAAATGTATAAAATATAAACATTCGCAAACCATAAGTGTATGTTCTCGGAAGTATGAACACGTAAGGATAAAGTAACAAGGGATCATAACAGATTATGTAATGAAGTATGAATAATGTAAGTTTTACATGTAACGTGATTTAACACACATTGTTTTAAAACGGATATTAAGCAAACTGATCAATTTTGATACTTTGTTTTGAGAAGACTAAGCAAGCCGAAACATTATTTTAAAGCGAACTGATACTATCCCATAAAATTATATTTAATCAAAATGAACTAAATTATATTTAATCAAAATGAACTAACACTATTTTATAAAATAAATAATACTAATGACTACTACTCATGTAAAAAAAATTATGATTACATGATATTTATTTACTAGCTACTACGAATAGGAAAAATAAAAATTAAACTACTCGATCATCTTTAACTACGGATCCATCACCGATCAAGTGGTCTATTTTCCCATTAGGGCGCTCAAATAAGTTTGCCACATCCAAGTGGGTGATGTCAAAATTATTGTCAGAGACAAAATTAGCTTCAGGGCCTTTGTTCTTTAGAAATGCTTGATAAAGCTCAACCAAATGTCTTGGTACACGACAAATATTTGCCCAATGGCCTTTTCCACCGCAACGATAACATTCGATTTTTGAACCATTTGCCTTTGGTTTCTCATCTTTCCCTTTCCACTTTTAGTGGTTATTTTTTTTGGGGGTGATCAACACTAGGAAAATTTCTTCCTTGTCCACGGCCACGACCATGACCACGACCACGAATAGGGCCATGGCCTTTTCCACGCTTAGCATAATGGGAATACAGCTCATCCACTTCAGGCAATGGTGTAGACCCAGTGAGTCAATTTTTGTGATTTCTCATGAGCAAGTCATTGTTTTGCTCAGCCACAAGGAGAAGAGAAATCAACTCAGAGTACTTTTTGAAATCTTTCTCTCTGTATTGCTGTTGCAAGACCATATTGGAGGCATGAAACGTTGTGAACGTTTTTTCAAGCATATCATAATCAGTGATAGTATCTCCACAGAGTTTCAATTTAAAAGTAATTCTAAACATCGCAGAATTATATTCAGAAACAGACTTAAAGTCTTGGAGCCTCAGATGAGCCCAATCATATCGTGCTTGTGGAAGAGTGGCCAACTTTAAGTTGCATATCTTTCCTTTAAGTCATTCCACAAAACAAGTGGATCTTTGACTGTGAGATATTCTATTTTCAACCCTTTATCAAGGTGATGGTGCAAGAAAATCAAGGTCATAGCACAGTCTTGGGTGGATGCTTTAGTTTTGTCTTTAATGGCGTCTCCAAGACCCATTGCATCTAAATGGATTTCAGCATCCAACACCCATGTCATATAGTTCTTGCCCGAAATTTCAAGGGCAACGAACTTTCTTTTCATAATATCAGTCATAATTAAAAGAGGAGAAAAGTTGTACCTTAATCTTCTTGAGACGGTAGAGTCTCGTGCTGATAACGTGTGATAAAACAATAAAAGTAGAAGAACAATATTGCAGAGAAAGAAAGAGAGGAAATTCTTATTGAATTTTGGGATGATTTACAATGGGGTAAGACCCCTCTATTTATAGGAGAAAAATGACTTAGCCACAAAGTAAAACTCTCTACAAGATAGACATTCACTCTAAATAGAATTCTATTCATAACAGTAATAAATTTTTAAGTCGGCATTTTAAACGAAGAGCGGAAGAGGGTCCTTATTGATAGAGAGATGAAGAAAACAGGGATTTTGATTATTTGACTTTCTTGGCAAAATTTAAATGCAAATATTTAATTATTTGACTTTCTTGTACAAAAATGTTAAGTTTGGATCTAGCTACTTGTTCAGTAAGACATTAGGGTTTAACATAATTACAAATAATATTTTAAAAGACGAAATTAAGACTCGTGCTGATGTTAAGTTGACCATATATACCTAGTGCGGGGAAACTACAATCTCATTAGACTAAAACCCTAATAGGTGGCCAAGCATCGTGTATTGCACATATGATCAGGATGAATTATATGAGTTGGTTTGTTCGGTGTGAATAGATACTAGGTGCAGATCATGTGAATTTGAGACGTGACATTCATATTTTGTTTTGGTTGTCCTATGCCCAACTTATCAACTTATAGAGAATTTAAAGTGCAAAAAAGAAACTTGAAAAAACCGATGAAAAGTTAACAAAGAGCCATTTCTAATTATATTTTGCAAATCCTTAAAGGACATTATTTTGTGGCTGAAATATTATTCATTTACAATCCTCTCTCACACACAATAGGCATATGGCCTAATAGATGTATTAGGGAAAGGAAATTTAATTAAACAAATAGATATGACACTCGAAATTGGTCAAGAAAGTCAAATAATTAAAACCTTGCTTTTAAATTAGCCAAGAAAGTAAAAATAATTAAAATCCTTGCTTTCTTCATCTCGCTATCAATAAGGATCAACTTCGGCTCTTCGTTTGATAACAAAATAGCCACCTTAACTAGGGGCTAGGGGATGCATGGACCCTTTCGCCGAAAAATTATACTATCAATTCAACCTGGACACGCCATTGAAATTCAAAGGAGGTTCAGGATTTGAAATTTCACAACTAACTGAAATCTATATAAAGAATATAAGTTCTGAACATTTCTCACCACTTTCTTTTCACAACTTATTGCTATTCCGGGGAGAAGAAAATATGGGTGTGAAGGGCAAGTTGATTGCTTCATTAGAGGTGAAGAGTGGAGGACACTCTGTTCAGGATATTTTTCATATTAATACTCATCATATACCCAATATAAGCCCTAGTAAGATCAATTATTTTGAGATTCATGAAGGTGAAATCATAAAGGTTGGTTCGATCGTTAGCTGGAAATACAACGAGGGTAACATACATTTCCCCGCTCTCTTTATATGCATCAATTTTTTATATTTAGGTGTATTTGATTTTGATGATGTTTGGTTACCATAAATATATTCTGAGTAGGACATTTTGCATATAAAAAATAGCTTCTTTAGGCGGAAATTATTTCCTCTAGGGAGAAATATTACAACTATCTTAATTTTTAACTTTCTTCTACTTGCTCCAATTAACCCTTAGACGTCTTATTAGTTTTTAGCACTCAAAAATTTTATCAAATTAAACGATCTATAAATTTTAATATTATTATTATTATTACCAGTCTTTAATGTATGCTTTCCATAATATATTTTTCACTCACCAATCAAATATTAGAAAATATTTTGCAGAACAAATTTTTTTTCATGAAAAATTGCTTCAGTCATATCAAACACATTATAATCAAATCCATAATTTTTTTCATGAATGTTTATATCTTTTATGAGGAATTGGACTATTGAACTAGGAGTAACATCTCTTGTATTTTTTAATTTTAATGATTATAGATGGAAAAGAAAAGATTGTTAAGGAAGTGATTGAAGCCTTCGATCATGAGAAGAAATCAATCACTTGGAAAGTGATTGAAGGAGATTTGTTAGAGTTGTATAATTACTTCACTGTTATCACATCCAGTGAAGATCAGTGGACTACATGGACATTAGTGTACGAGAAGAAAACTGAAGACACCCCTGAGCCCCTCGCTTTCATGGGTGTAGTCCTTGATTTGACCAAAGATATAGATGTCCACCTTCTCAAGAAATAAAAGATCTCTATATATATGTGCGCACTCGTATGTGTGATGAATATTTGGCAAGATTGGCTAGTTCTAGCCACCGAGTGAAATAAATAATGTCGTGTTTGGAGTTATGTATGTCAGTCTCCTTCTATGAATGTATTTTCAATGGTCAGTTATGTAAGATATAATGAATTTTTCAAGTTTAATATGTTACCTCTAATAACTACAAGATATATTTATTAGTGTGCGTTCTTTTTCAGCCCCATTTTGTTTTGATTTCTCTAATGGTAATATGGGGATTAATATTTACACAGATAGTCGTTGAAGCACTCGAAAGCAACTCGTATAATAGGAGATAGGTCGGGGAAGTACATAAACAACTAATCCTAGGGGTGCTATTTATTTTATCCTAAAATTTTAAAATGAAAATCATAATTTCAAGATATTTGTGACCCGAAAAAATTAAATTGAAAAACTAAAATTCATGACACATTGACTAATTCCTAAATAACAGAGTTAGGTTATATAATATGAGAATTGTTCCGCGGTTAGCCAGTAAGGCTTGTGACAGGCACGTGCTAATTTTGATTTCCACAATAAAGCACATTATGGTAAAGAAAAATGAATAAAGTAGGACTTTTATGCAAAGAAAGAGTATACAATTTAGGGGAAGGTGGAGAAATGAAGAACCCCATATTGAAGAATATAGGAAAAAATACAAAATTGGTCGATCAACTGACACTAACTATATTCGCTAGTCAAAAAAATATATAAAATAGGTATAATTTTTGGACATAATATACATATATACAAAAAAATAAACATTCTGTCGGCTATTATATTTGGATGGGGCTAAAGATATACATTTCTCCAATAATGTACCAACTTCTATCGTGCCAAAAGATACTTTTGAGCATGCAGGAGGAATACCACAAAGTTACCAAAAGAAACTTCTACGGGAAAAATTGTTCAATAGGAATCTCAAATTTTGAACTTCATATTTAGAGAGGAATGATTCCCTCGAGAACAGCCATTCACATACTATTCCTCCCCATTAAAAAGAGCAATTGAGAATCTCGAGAACCTAAACAAAAATGCAGAAGTGAGCGTACCCTAAGGCTCTCCTCTCTCCTCCTTTTTTAGCTAACACCATCAACCCCATTTTTCACTGGGTCAAAGCCTAAAATCTGATGAATCTTTAAGAATTCTTTTACCTCATGTGTACCCGCATTTTAGGAACGGCTCAAATAAAGGGTCCAGCCCTTCCTAATATAATTCTTTCTAGCATTATGCTGACGGGAATAAATTATTTTTGAATCATACATCTTTTAGTACAATAACCGGTTTCCTATTGTGGGAGTTTTTCTCCTGTTTATTTATTGTACAAAAAAACTATGTAGCGTAAAGAAAAGGTTTACAAAAACAGGAATGGAAATTAGTTAAGGAATATGTAATCTGAAAGAAAACAAAGAAAGCAATTCAAGAAAGTTCTCGTTGAGGAATTTTCTATGTGTATATATACACTACAAACTTCATCCTATCCATCAACAAGAAGAAAAAAGGGTAAAAGGAAATATTACATATTAGCAGAAAGGAAAGGAAAGAAATACAGGAAATGAATTCAAAGGGAGCTTCAGCTGCTACACCAACTCAAATATATGAAGATTTTGTGCCAACATCAAAACTGGTTCAAGAAGAACTCTCTGACACTCTTCACCTTAATATTCCAGGTGCTATTCTTTACTCATTCCTCCCACCACTGACGGATTTATACTAGATGTGGATTCAGTAGATTTATTGGGTTATCGGGAATAGCCTCTCTACCTCACATAAGGTAGGGGTGAGGTCTGCGTACACCCCACCTCCCGGAATTCACACGTGGGAACACACCGGATATATTGTTGTGGGTCCAGTAGATTATACAGTCAAACCTCTCTATAACAGCCTCATCTATTCCAGATTTTTTGGATTGTTATAGCGAAGTGCTGTTATACAGAACATATATTATAACATAGCATGAAAATTGGTTCCAAAGAAACTTGGCTTTTA